GCACAGTCTCTTCCTCCCTGGTTAACTCTTTACTCAGAGGCAAAGCCAGGTGACAGCAGTGAGGTTGAAATGCACTGTCTTGATTTGCTTATGTTGACTTAGTAAGCTGCAGAAGTTTCTTGCACTTCTAAACCACTGAGCTGGCAGAAGTGGTGACAGGCTGCAGGGAAGAGGGACCTGCCCAAGGACAGATTCTAACCACTGCAAGCCCTTGTGCTTCATTGCACATTAAAAATTATTGATCCAGCAGACCGGTTGCAGCACTTGCTCACAAGCCAGTTCCAACATGTATGGTGTCTTTTCCTGCAGTTACTCTTTGCTCTCTCTTACGATGATTAAGTCAGTTTGGCCTGACAAACAGTAAATGGAAGTGATTTCAGTGTCCTTGTTTTGTAGTTGAACTGCATACAAACTGGGGGATCCACTTTACCCCACTCCTACATAGGACAGCAGTACTAGACACAAAGGGTCTGAAAAGTTTGGTTTGGACCATGTGCCCCCTAAGCAATGGAGTAGGTCCTGTAGGTAGTAGGAAAAACAGGACTGACCTGTTGCTGTTTGTCCTCTAGAATTTGTTGATGACATTCTTTGTAGGCAGTGCCAATGTTATACATTACATGAGCCTTGGACACCTGGTCCTCACATTGGAAAGTCATCGTGTTCTTATAATGGTGCCTCTAGGGTGGGGAAGTGGCTCTTCACTCCTCAGGAATTGACAAGTGGACAGATTTTGCAGGCAGGTAGCCAGCCAGAAATGGTTTCCAGCCAGATCTAGCACTGCACTGCTGTTCCCTCACTGGTGGTCTCCCAGTGTCTCATGCTGATTTTGCTAGCAAGCAATCCCCTTTAGGACATTTGCCATCAAGGTAGGTAGAGGTTGGTTGTTCCTGGATGTTGTCTTATTCTAGAGAAACAGAGATACGTTTTTATGCCTTTTTGTATGTTTCTTTCCCTTTTCCTTTTTTATTTTTTTCTTTATTCCCAGAGCCATCTCCAGGATGGTGAAACATAAAATCACCTGCATTCAGGTTGCTTCTTTCACACTTTGTTTTGAGTGCCTGGCAGACTTGCGTAGTCTCAGTTCTAGCACCCAAGGCTGTGGGCCACCTGGTGAATATGGGTAAAGGATGCTCCTGTTACAATATGAAAATAACAGAGTGCACTGGGGCAAATAGAAGAGTCATAAGATAAAATTGTTCCAACTTTATGGTCAACCTGTATATATATATATGTATGTGTATATGTATGTGTGTGTGTGTATATATATATATATATCTGCAGAACCATGGTCTTCAAGTTTTAATCGAGGGGATATTACCACCCATATTTACTGTGCAAAACCTCTTCCTGCCTGGGACTTTTATAATGGAGCAACTGAGAGCAGCCTTGTGCTTCAAGCCTGATGGATTTGAGCTGCACAACTTCCACTTTCATTCCAATCTTGTTGTAATAACTGGATCACCTAAAGGTCAAGCTGCTTCCTCAGGGGGTATCAAAATTGATATTGTATCTTGCTGGGTTACTAAACCTGCTTGCAAGCATCTCCCATCAAGCATAGAAAGTGACTCTAAAACGGCCCAAACAACTTCCATCATCTAATTCAGTTGCATGCTAAAATCTGAGGTCACGATGCACAGTGTGTGAGGCTTGGGAAGGAGTCACACAGCATCCTTTGCTTGACGTCATGTTCAGCAGACCAGTAGTACAGACTGATAAAGCGCAGAGGTCTTTAATCCCTCCTCTTCAAAAGAATCTTGCTCACCATTATCCTGAAGTGGGATCCACACTGACATGCCAAAAAAGGGTGGGTGGCAGCTGCCTAATAAAGCAAATGCTCAAAATCATGTAGATCCTGTAATTTTCCCTGATGTTAGCCCAGACTTTTCATAACCCTCAAGAGATTCCTCTGCAGAGAAACTGCAAAACTTGTGTTTGCTCTGTTCTTTATCTCAGATGGACGCACTCTTGTGTCATAGGTGGGTGGCCTTTGCAGATGTTAAACTCCAGGTTCGTATAAAGGAAGTGAAACCCATGCTGAGCCAGCTGCCTTAGAGCTGCTCGTGCTTTCATTAAAATAATTATGATTTCAGCTCTGGTTTCCCCCAAGCAGAGAGCAATAGAAAATTAGAAAGGTTTTGGAAATGGACAATGAGCAGCTGAAGGCTTTGGGAAAAGATTTTGTATTAAGAGGATAGGGAAGATTGATATCTTTTAAGAAGACAGCTAACAGGTACAGAGTAATGAATGGGTGAGAAGATGGATGGGGACTTCTGTTCCCACCTCCTAATAATATGAAAGTCAGATTACAAAGTGGTGAATTCACTTCTGATGAAAGGAACTATTTGTTCGCAATCACTATCTATGACCTTGCTGCAAGACAAAGCACAGGGGCAAGAACGTACAAACTTAAAGGAGGGAGTAAAATTATACCAGTTGGAATAGCCAAAGCAGTTGCAATGCTTAGGAGAATGTCAGTGTTTTGAAAAGGTGTATTTGTCGGTGTATTGATTAGGGCATTACAAGAGTATAAGCTAACTTGTACAGCTTTTTGGGGCCTTTTTTTTCCTCTCTCCAAGGCTTTTTCCATAATCGCCTATAGGGGAGTTTGTGGAGTGTGTTACTGGTAGCTGCCACTCAGAGACTGCAAGAGAGGAGGTCTGCTGCTGCAGTCGAATGCCTGCTTGCAAGCCACCTATTTTGTGTCAGTTCTTCCAAGATTGCTAAATTAACACATGAATTAGGATGTTTTAGCTTTTCTGTTATGTTACTGCCTTTGATAATCCTTCACAACTTGTCTTAGATGTGGAATGACGCTTCACCTTTTAAGTATGTGCCGGGGGAGAGGCGGGTGGATAAAGTTAGATTCCTTCTGAGGATTTAGAAATTGCTGCATTGGCTCAGCCCTGGGATCTGCCTCGTCCAGGGCTCTGGATAGCAACAGCCAAAGTCAGATATTTCAAAGGACAGCATGAGGCCACAGAACAGATGACTAAAACAGAAAGCTGCCCTTTTAAATCACTGCTGTTTGTCCATAGAATTGGAAAAGCAAAGGTTGAGAGTTTGTTTGATCCAAGAGCACAAAAGCTGGAAAATCCCGTTGCCTGGCTGATGCTAGCTAATGCTGATGTTTTGTATCCTCCAGGAAATTACTAATGTGCCTGTTTTCTCTTAGGAAAAACAGAGATGTGCTTACCTTAAACGACAAGTTTATACTCTGCCTTTAAGTTGGTGTAAAAATAAGTAATACTTGTGTGTAGTCTCACAGCCTAATTGTGTAGAGGAAGATCCACAGTGGGATTCTCGTTTGGGAAACAACCCCAGGGTTGGGCAGGGCTGGGCTGGGAGGAGGCAGCGGCAGTGGTCACTGAGGGGTTTTGGCATCTGGAAAATGGGTGTCTTTTTCTGACACTGTTGCAAGCTATCCAGCTGTCAGGAGGGTCTGGTCTGTTAGGGGTTTTTGCCTTTTTTATTTTTTAATCTTTTGTTTTTCTTTTTCTTTTCCCCTGCTGTTGCAAATGAGCATTTGTAAGAATTATATGTGGTTTCTTGCTCTGCTGAAGTCCTGAAATTATTGTTAAAACTGCTACTAAAAAAGGGATTCAGTGAACTCTCCATGGGAAAAAAAAACAAAACCCGTATATTCCTTCCCTTGTCAAATATTGTAACTTGTCAAGGTCCAAAAGCCAAAGAGGCCAAACACAAGGGGAGTTGCCCCTCTGTCAACTATGCCTGGAGCGGCTGCTGGGGCACACAGAACGGTCGTGGTGTCCCAGTCCCCCCGACAGACGAGGACAGCTGCTGACTAAAGAGAAGCGCAAAAAAAAAAAAAAGAGGTTGCTGAACTTTCAAAGTGGAGGTAGAAAAGGGAGTTAAATTTAGATTATCTTCTGCAGTGTCATCTCTGACACCGCTGCGGAACTTGCTGTACTCCTTGCATGGGAGAGGACAAACAAGACATGCCATCCTGGGCACCAGATGATAAATTTGTTTATAAGGCTTAATTACCCCTTGGCATGAAAATGTGAAATGAGCTCAAGTAGAATGAGAAACCTTATGTTGGGACTAGCTGCATTTTTCCTTGGGGAAGGGCAGATTAAAATGTCTTCCCATCACCTGTCTGGTGCTAGAGAAGCCCAGTGCTGATCCTGCTGAAATGAGGGTAGTTTGTGACTGTTTCTTTAGTGAGATGGCTGTTAACTGGATAGGCTGAGAGTGAACGCTGCCGTTAAGAGTTGCTCAGAAAAAACAGCTGTGCGGCAGGCAGAAGGCAGCATGGGAGCGCTTTTGATCTGTGAAGGCTTTACCCAGGTCCCTGTGATCTGGAGGTACTTGGGAAAACCATAGTTGTTGCTCCTAGAGCTCCAGTGCCATTCAGCAAGTGGCATCAAACATGGCTTTCTCCTCAAAAAACCCAAAACCAGCTAGATTAAATGTCTAATTTTGCTTAACAAGATTTAATCATCGCTGAGGAGCTGCTGGCTCTTGCCAACGTTTTTAATGGATTCCCCTCCACTTGCAACATCCTATTAGCAGGGAGCAGAGCGGTTGTGCTCCGCATGGCTCTCGGCCAGGGTCCCGCACCGGCAGCACACAGCTCCCGTTGGCAGCGAGCTGCCTGGTGTTACCCAGCAGCTGCATTAAGGGTCAGGGCTTCTTTTTTATTTATTTTTTTGGCTCTATTTTTTTTTTTTTCGCAGAGCTGCCCGATCTGATGTCATTTCCCTCTTGCAAACACCCCGGCTGGGCTGCGTCTGAGATATGTCACGGGGAGTGGGAGGAGGAGGAGGGGGAGCCAGCGAGTGCGTGCAGTGTCCCAGGACCCTGTTTACTTAGCATTCCCAACCGAGGAAGCCCGGGTTTAAATAGGATCGAGGAGCGGGGCTGCCCACAGCAGATGAGGAAATGGTCACTGTGGGGCTTTAAATTCCTGCCTTCCCATGCGCTGGTGCGGAGGATGAGCCTGCAGAATGCCTTTCCTCCTGGGTCTCAGACAGGTAACCAGCTGCGGTGCGGTGGGAGCTGCTCGCTCAGGTGGAGGATGTGATTGATTTGCTTTTATTTTGACCACCCCCGCACCTCTAAGGAAGCGGTTTCTGACTTTCCCAAAACGCAGCCGTACAAACGGTGCTTCCCCACCCGTGGCGTTTGCTCGGAGAGCACGGCAGTGGGAGAGACGCTTTTCATCAGCTAGGAAGGAGCAGAGCTGTGAGGCAGGGACAGCAACTCGCTGCTTGTTGTAGGCTGTGCGGCAGGGCGGCTCTTCGTGTCGTGCTCCTGTGCAGTTTCTGTTTGCTCCGCGTTCAGGGTACTTTCCACAGTCCTTAATATGGAATTGTGTTTACATTGCTTCAAAACGTGCCAAACTTTGAACCCTTTTCTTGTGTGGGCAGTATATGCTGAGGGTTACACTGGGGGGGGGGGTGTGTTAAAAAGACATTTTTCTGTATTTCATCCCTGACAGAGGTCACCAAACGGCAAATGACAACGTGCTATGACCCCCAGCTTGGTGACTTTTTAACTGAGCTTTGTCCCAAGTTTCTTGTTCATCTAATAGCTGGTAAAGGCGAGTGGAATGAGAAACGGTAGCAACTGCCCAGCTGCTCCCCGCTGGAGGAGGTGCCAACTATGTGTGCCTCTGCTCGGGGAGAGCAAACCCTTTTTTTGGTCTGGGAGGCACGTCTGTAGGCGAATTTAACTGTAAACTCTTCGCAGGACCGTCGGGATCTGTAATCCACAATAAATAGGTACTGCATGTTATCGGAGTGCTGCTCGCAGCTTCTAATTTAGAATTAAAAAGTCAAGATTGGACCGTAGCATGCTTTAAACCTTTCAGCTGTTCAGAAATGAAGGCAAAAGGACTTGAGCACACTGCTGAGTAAACAGTGCTGCCTCTCTTTCCTTATCAGTTCAGTTTTTAGTGAAATGCAGCTCCCCCCCTCCCATCCTGCTGAACTGAAAACAGTTTTACATAAGAAACTACCTCTAGCACAATGACCTTCTGTAACTGAGCGCAATAGCTGTAATAATAGTTCCCTTGTTAGCACTCAGGGCAAAGAGACTTTCCCTAAAAACATCAAAACTGAACCAAGGAGGGAATATTCGGGCACGAAGGCTGAATGGCTTGAGGTAACTCAACTTTGAGCAAGACATAGTTGGCTTAAATGCTGAGGCTGCTCGAGTCTCATGTGTGTGTGTTTTTCTCTAAAGTTCCTATTTTTAAATTAATCTTTTTGTTTTAGAGACACATTTGGGACAGTGGAGGTGCTGCATATGGTGTAAAACCAGAAGTTCTGTGTAATTCGGCTTCATTTGCTCCAACTGCGAACATCTGGTTATCTCAGTGGCTGGATGGTACTTTTTTCCTTGGCTTGTAACTTTTTGGCACCTACACAGAGGCCTTTACAGGAAGCAGAAAAAAGGTGTTGCCTCAAGACCACAAGAGCAAAGCTTTTGACTATTTTTATCCACTGATGAAGGATATAGTGGGAAAGAGCTGCATGAACTTTGCTTAGTTTTAATCATTTTGAGTTTTAATTTTTGGTCTTAAAAACCTAAATATTTGTGATTGTGTTCTGCATTCAGAAATTTCTTCTGCTTATAAAAGAGCAGGGGAAAAAAAGGGTTGTTAGTGAACAATGCTATTTAATTAAAAGTGTGGGAGGAATTCAGACACATCTCATCACCTCTATTGTCTCTTGTGTTTGCACTCGGCCTGTAAACACTTGGTTTTCTGGGATGTCCTTTGTTGTTCTTGTTCCCACTCAACACAAGGGGTGTTGCCCCTGGGCTGCAGGGAAAAGGTGCTGAATGGGGTGCCCTCCCATGAGCTTCGAGGACAACAGCGATTGTGGTGAGAGCCACTGCTCCCTGAGACAGGCACCCCTTGCTCATTCCTGTGCTGAAAGACTGCTTTCCCTGGATCTGCCATCACTTCTTTATTGGGACCCAGTGGCTCTGCAGCCTGGCAGATGAACTGCAGAACATATGATAAAAACAGGGTGTTTGGTTTGGGGATTTTTTTTTTTGGGTGGTTGTTGCAGTGGGGATGATGTTTAAATGCCTAAAAAGCTAGGTCAGCTCTATTTGACATCAGTGCAACGTGGGTGTTTAAAGGTCCCATCCCAGGAAACATGATTGTAGAGCATCTTAGCTTTCAGTTTTAAGTGAGCATTTCCTCTGAGGGTTGCAGGTGAAAGCTTGAACATGTTCATGTAATTTGCTGCATAAATGTAAAAGGGGGGGGGGGAAGATGGGAATTTTGTATCCCTGACCTTTTCCGGTTTAATTTTAACTGCTTGAGGTTTTCGGTGATGTCAACTCTTTGGTGGTTTAAAACAACAAAACACAAGGCAGCCTCCTCAAAGCTGTAATTTCCTAGAGGCGGCTATCTGTAATGTGAAAGGGCTGGGACTGCAGCTGGGAAGCTTCTAGCAAGGTGTGAAGGGAAGTAAACACTTTCACTTGGGCTTAAAATGCCAGTGTGCAGTTCTTTGAAAGTGAAACTTGCAATAAAAATGAAACCAGCCCTTACCGAACTGTATCAGAATGTCCACGATCTGTGAAAGGACAGCGTTCCCTAAAAGATTGTTGGAGTATCTCTCCAAGATAAATGGATGCAACAAACCAATTTGTTCCTCAGATAAAGGTTAATAAAACCTTGGAGGTTCTGTATCCGCTGGGGGTGTGAAGGTGGTTCTGCTGGGCTGATTAATCATGGTGATTTAAATATTAATTCTCCTGATGCTGGCATTAGAGAAGCAATAAGTGTTGTGGATTAGAGCTCCCACTTCGGAGATCTTTATTGTGCCTGGGACAGCTCAGAGCCATTATTCCTCCCACCTTACCATACTGTATTTGGATGTTTGCACTTAATATATTTTGTTTTTTCCACATTCAGCAAAACCAGATTTGTGGTGGGTGTCTTATGAAGAAATGTCCAGACTTGATTTATTTCCTGGCCTCAGCTGTGTGTCGTAAGGCAGTCTTACAGGAATTATCTCTTGACGAGCTGGCACCCGAGGTTCCAGTAACTCCCAGCAATCAAAGCCATTTTCATCTTTACCAATCTTAACATGTTTTTTGTTAAACTGAATCCACCAAACGCACAGCGCTTGCTTCGGTAGTGGATTTTTGCTTTTATGTTCCAAAGGACTAACAAGTGTGGTGTTTGAGTATAGGAGCTGACTGGTGGCTTTAGTGCACACTCAGCTGGGTTGGCGTCAGTCCTGACCTGCCCTGGTGTTGAAGGGTTCCCCTCCAGTTGTGCCAGTCCTTGCTGCCATCCCACCTACTGTCCTGCTCTGAAAGGACCTAGTGATCTTTTAATTTAAGATGAATTTTGTCTAGGAACTGGGAAGCAGCTGGCAAACCAGGAATTGTAGTAAACTCATGGCAAGATTTGGCATTCCAGTATTTTCAGTAGGAACTTTAACTTGCAACTGAGTCTTTTATCTGACAGAAATGAGCCTCATCTTTATTAGCTTTGTGTTTGCATTCTCATGAGCTGTTGCTGATGGTCTTAGCTGACCAGCACTAGTGATAGTCTGATATGTGAGCTTGAGTAAAAGCCAGGTGGTAACTCATTGGGTATCAACGACAGTTTTTTCCAGTTGGCTGTTTCAAACGTATTAAAGATACTGATAATCACTTCCATTCGGGTACTCTGGGTGCTTAAAGAACATACATGGCTTGCATTCCGATTACAAGTTCCTCAAGGTACATATTCTAGTTCATTTTTCTGAAGGTTGTGTCATTTGCTTAAATCCATCCTGCTTTGTTGTTAGGGGGGCAGATGGATACTGAAAGCAAATGTCTGCTGCCTGTGAGTAATGAGATCAGTGAAATAACTAGGTCAGGATTTTTTTCATTGTTGGACAGATGCTTATTACCAAAGTCCCCAGTGAGAGCCACAAAGCCAGGTCTGGAGAGGTCACAGGTTGAGCCTGAGTCCTGTTAAAACCAGTAGCATCTTGCTTTCCAGTGGGTGCTAGTTTGGCAGCCTCCCTCTAGCCTGCTGCTGGGCTTTTCATGGTGTCCCACTGTCTGTAATGCGTTATTCGGTTCTGTTATTAATCCCTATCTCTTCCAGGTCAAACAGTAATTTGCTACATAGTGCCTTGGCAAATGGTGTACCTGAGGTTTGGAGAGAAATGGGAGTAGGTCTAGAGAGCTGGCTACCCTAGAAAACAGGAATGGCATATAACCTGCTGTCAGTAAATGCAAATCACATTTGCACACAAATGTTTTCCGGGATGTCTGGGTATTACCAAGGTTAGGATGAACAGATACTCTGTCAGGTTGAATGACACACAGAGGCCATATAAATGCAAGGTGCTCATATTTAGGGTAATGGAGGCCAGATTTCTGTGGAAAGAGGAGACAGAGCAAAGAGCTAAAATGGTTATTAGATCTCTGTGATACCAGCTACTGCTGGTTTTGGTTACCTGGTTAATGCCAGCTGAGGAGTCATCTTTTGTAGGTGGTTCACTGCCAACTATGCACTTTTGAGCGTGGGCTGTGGTGTTTGTTGCTGCAGTTGCACATATTAATTTTCAGCTTGGAAAATAGCCATACCGGTCTGGAATTTGCTCATCTTCATCTTTCTCCTTTTTGACATAGCAACAGCGTTCCTAGGTTAACTGCTGGCTTTTGAGAATAGAAAATTATGAAGTGCCTTGATCCTTTTGTTGTAATGGTACTCCACTGTCCATCAGTTCTCATTCCTTCAGTTTCCTACACTGGCTTCATACACAATAAATCCTAACAGATTTATGAATATTAAACCCAACCATTTAGTACTAAAAACCTTCAGAAAAGTAGGTTGAGGAGGTCTGATTTCATCCTTTCTAGCAGCAAGGTGCAATTCAGGCTACCTACAGACCTCCCTGAATGCCTCCTGTCTTGATCGTGCCCTAGATTTTGACCTTTTAATTTGACACGTAGACTTCCAGCAAAGGTCCAATACTAAACTGGAAAGTGGAGAAAATAATTGGCTTTTTTCCCTGGCACTGACGTTAATGTTTGCTGTAGCTTCAGATGTGACAACATGCAGCACTGCCTTGAGTCCTCTTCTACCTACCACTGCTGGGTATTTTAAGGATTATTTGTAAAAGCACTTGACAGCACGAGTGTGCTCCTGGCAGAGTTGCTAGCATGATTGTGGGCTTATAACAAATGCCAAATATCAACAAGAAAATAAGTAAATCTTACGTTATTCCAAGCTGCTTTATAAAGTTTATGACAAGTGAAAACTAATCCAGAATGCCACATCTTAAACAGAGGCTTTCCAAGTGCACTGAGGTGAGGTCTTCCCAACTCAACCAGTCTCATGAGACAGAGCCTCTACTGGATTTAACAAGTGGCTTCTATTGAACTGGATGCAAAGAGAACACAGACTCCAGGTTTGCAGAGCTTTCTCCTGAAAGCTGCTGGCTTTGGAGTGTGGATCAGGGATCCAGTGTTTCCCGTTTCTTAGGTCTGCATTAGCTCTTAGGATGACGCCAAGGAGACCATGATGCACATGAGTACGTGTTGCTTTACAGGACAAAGCCAGACTCTTGAAATAAGCTGGAAATCTCCCGGGCTTTGCAGGTGGGAGATAACGGATGGTGTGTTCAGGCTTCTTAGTTGTGAAACAGGAATATTCTGTTCTAATGGAGTTGAACAGTTTTTGAGAGCAGACCCATGTAGATACTGCTTAGTAATCCCATCTGGAGGTGTGTACAGTTACCTGAACAAATGGTGGTGGGCAGGGATGTGCTTGCCTGGACAACAAGAAAACAAGACTGTCCTTCAGCAGACGACCCTGCACCGGAATGTGATAGTCACTGGCTATTGGGGAAGAAAGTGCTTTTGGAAAGAAATTCTCCTCCTCCTTTATGTATCACTACCTAACACACACCTCCCCCCCCCCCCCCCCGCCCCCCCCAACACATCTGTAATAGCTCAGTAAAAACTCCATGGTGCTAAAAACGATTAAGATTTAAAAACATGAGTGCTGCTTGCAATGTAAGGTAGAAACAAAGGCAGATCGCTAAATGCTAGTACTCAGCTTTCTCCTGTAAGATTTTTTTTCCCCCAGATATATTTTTCTTACCTATAAAACTACTTGCAGTCCTGTGCCTTGTCCCTACCTGTTGGTGTGAAAGAGGAAATAGTTGTTTTCATAGCACAAGTACTTGTGATATAGTTTCCAGGAGACATTTAGACTATGGATTACTGTATTGCCAATATGTCTTAAGTAGCTGCAGTTTTGCAGCATGTGACACAAGAAGGAATGGGGGAAGGAAGTAGAAATAATACAGAATTGATGGTATGAAAAGTGCAGGCTGGGGTTTAACCAGGAATTGAAGCCTGATGGAAGTGCTTGGTGGTGAGCAGAAGTTTCCTGACAAAAAAATACCATGATCTCTCTACTGATGGCAGTGTGTAACCTCCTCCTTGGCTTGCAAAACAGTGCAAGAAACTGTACAGCTTGTTGCAGAGATGAGTCTTG